CCGAATGACCACTACCAGGGCTGGGGACCACACTGCAACGGAGGTACGTGCCCTTGACCAGAATCAAACCTGCAACTCTTCAGTCCACAGGCAACATTCTAACCACTGAGCAAAACCGGCCAGGGCTGTTTTTAATTTTTTTAGGAACTTCTACAGTTTTCTATAGTGGCTACACCAATTTATCACCCCACAAACTGCACAAGAGTTTCCTTCTCTCCACATCCTTGCCAATTCTTCTGTCTTTGACAAGACACATCATTTGTCTTTTTTCCCCTCCATTTATCTTCAGATAGAGTGGGAGGGAGAGAGGGAGGAAGAGAGAGAGAGAAACATCGATGTGAGAGAGACACATCGACTGGTTGCCACCCACATGACCCCAACCGGGGCCAGGGACAAACTGCAATCGAGGTATGTGCCCTTAGAGTCCACAGGCTGACGCTCTAACCGCTGAGCCAAACTGGTCAGGGCTCATTTGTCTTTTTGATGATAGCCATTCTAACAGGTATGAAGTCATATCTCATTGTGGTTTTGGTTTGCATTTCCTTGATGATTGATGATATTTAACATCTTTTTCATGTGCTTATTGGCCATTTTTACTGACCACGATAAAGCAAAGAAGGAGAAACTGAAGCTGTAAGAGGAAAGAGAAATAATTATGGGAACTTTTCCCAGAGGAGAAGTTGATTTTGGAAAGTGATAGGGATCTCTTTTCCTCTTACATAGGAGATGAGGAGGAGTTGGATGAAAATATCATAACGGGGAGGGAAAATAAGGTTTTAATATTAGATGGTGGTCCTTCCAGTGCAAAGGTATCTTCTAGGAGTGAGAGGATGGGAGCAGGGCTGGGATCTTAAGTAGAGAGCAAAGGATTACAAATGGGTGCTGTGAGCTGGAACAGAAGTCCAAGAATGGATCAGCACCCTTCAGGGCACAAATGATACTGAAAAGCACAAATGTGCAGTGGTGCTAGGTGCCATGGTCACACTTTTCTTTTTTCATTACAATAGAAGGGGGAGAAATTGGCAATGTAGGTGTGGTGATGATCAAGATGTAAAAGAAATCTAAAGAGTTGGAGAAGTTTTGGTCATATTGGTGAAACATGGGAGTACATATGGTGGATAGCCGCTAACATTTATTCTGCTAAGTTCTGTGCTAGGCCTCTTACATTAATTATTTCTAATTCTTACAACTGCCTAGGGTATATATTATAAATGCTATTTTATATATAAGAAAACTGCAGCTTAAGGAAGCCACATAACACAGATTCACCTGCTGATTAATGAAGAAGCCAGGAATCAAACTCAGATCTCTGAATTGGAAGTTTGGATAGAAAAACAAACAAACAAACAAACAAACAAACAAACCAAAACCAGGATAAAAGGAAAAATGTGACAATAGATTACATAGAAATCAGAGGTGAAGGTCAGAATTAGAATAATGTGTGGGTCCCAGAGAAATTAAGCAGAGAAAGGGGTGTATGGAAAAAAGGCACAGAGAGGAATTTCAGAGTTTGTAGTCTCTGGGGTAACGCAGTGTTTGCAGCGTGGTAGGGAGAGTGTGGCCATGTATGAACGTATTGCCTGTGTGGCATGAGGAGCAAGGCTGGGATAGTTGGGATACATGAGGTCAGGGTGACGGGTGGGTTATCCAGGTTAATGTTGAACTGCCTCACAATGATGGCAGAGAATGAGGTGGAGAGGAAACAACTGTGAGTCAAGTGGTGACATTTCTGAGGAATCTGAGCATGAACAGATGACCACAGCACAAATTGATGCCCTAGATTTCAAAGAGGCGTTAAGGACTTAGGGTTTTGGAATAACAGTTTAGAAGTTGCAATGGGGAGTAGTGAGAATATTGACACTAAATCTACACATGCCGGAGAAAAGAAAATCAGTTCATTTAAATAAGTGGAAAGAGGTAATTCTGAGATGAGGTCTTCAAAGCAATTTGGAAGGGGTCTGAGAAGTGATATAATAAATTATACTAATGTAGAAACAGATGCTTAGAGGCAGAATGATTCGCTTAAGCTCACACAGTAAATTGGCAATACAGGGTATGGGTGGTACAGTATGGCCTAATTATCAAGAAATGGGCCTTGAGATCAGATGGACCTGGGTTTGAATACTAGCTTCATCATTTACTAGCTGTGAGACTTGAGGTATTATCAATTCTCTCAACCTTTTCATCTGTAAAATGAGATACATAGTATCTATTGTGAAGGATTGTTGTAAGGATTAATGATGTATGTGAAGTGCTTACTTTGTGTATTGTGCCTGGCACACAGAAAGAGCTCAACATTTTAACTACTCATGCTGGAATAGAATCAAAGTCCCCCTGACTATTAGTCTAGTGTTCCATTCTCTGTATTTAGAGGCGGGCCATCTTCATCGGAGCTTTCCTATTGGAGTCACTCACACACTTGTTGGTAACATGTGAGACCTCTGGCCTCTGTGGGGGCTCAAGAACATTGCTGAAAGTAGAAGAAACTAATTTAACCACTTCTATACATATCTGGTCTACATACCAGTCTGCTTCCTGAGATAGACAAAAAGTTTATTGCTGAGTGAGATGCCAAAATGGGTAACTGAAGGGACCCTCTGTCATGTGTTTCAAGAGATCTTTAAAACTATGAAAGGCTCCATACTCTGTACCCTCCAACACCCACCTGGAATTGTTTAAAATGAGTAATGAAATAAAATGAGGACAGCCAGAGATTATCTAGACGCAGACAGGTTTAGCAACTTGCTCACTTCCTGGCAAACCAGGACTTGTAAACCATTCTTCTCACTATTCGTTTGTTTATTTTTAAAATTTATTTTTACTTATTACTGTTTTTATTGAGAAAGCAATGCATGGACAAGAGAAAGAATTCCAAAAGTACAAACATAATTTAAAATTACCTTCCTACTTCAGGCCCTTTGCTTCCAATCCCTCCTGGCCGCCACTACCATTAACAGTCTCCTGGGTATCCTTTTAGAAATATTCTCTGTATGTTTTATTTTATGTATATATAAGCATATAACTATTTATTCTTTTAATAAAACAAATGAAGACATACTATATATACTGTTTCATACCTTACTTTTTCACTCAGCACTACAATTTGACAGTTTCCTATCTGAATATAGAGTCTTTTCTCTTTCTCTTCAACTATTGCATAATAATCCATGGTATGGCTGTAGTATAAATTATTTAGCTTCAACTTCTAGTTTAGTTCTTACATCCCCCCCCCCCCCTTTTTGGTTGTTGTTGATACAACACAATTCTCCTAGTCACTCTTATCCAAACCTATTTGTCCATTCTTTTTCATTTTCACTGTCACTTCCCTGGTTTAGGCCTTAAAATTTTCTATAGCATTTCCCTATCTTTAGATTATGAATTTCTGCTCACTTTGCACTTGCTTAAAATAAAAAAAATTTTTCTTTATTGATTTTAGACAGGGAGGGAGATAGAAACATCGATGAGTGAGAACATCAATTAGCTGCCTCCTGCATGCCCCCCACTGGGGATTTGGCCCACAATCTGGGCATGTGCTCTGACTGGGAACTGAACCAGCAACCTTTTGGTGCATGGGTTGATGCTCAACTACTGAGCCACACTGGCCAGGCTGCACTTGCTTTTGATTCAGTTTCTTTCTTTCTTTTGTTAATTCTCACCAGAGGATATTTTTCCATTTTTTTCCCTTTTATTAATTTTTAGAGAGAGAGGAAGAAGGGAGAGAAAGAGAGAGAGAGATAGAAACATCAATGAGAGAGACACATTGGTTGCCTCCCATATGACCCCACCAGGGCTGGGGAAGAACCACAGCCCAGGTATGTGCCCTTAACTGGAATCAAACCTGTGATTCATTGGTCCCAGGGCTAATGTTCTAACTGCCAAGCCAAACCAGCCAGGGCTTTCCATAGATTTTTAGAGAGAGTGGAAGGGAGGGAGGGAGGAAGAGAGAGATAGAAACATCAGTGTGAGGGAGACACATCTACTGGTTGCCTCTTGCATGACCCAGACCGCGGAACCTGCAACCCAGGTACTTGCCCTTGACTAGAAATCGAAAGTGTGACTCTTTCGTCCACAGGTGGATGCTCTAACCTCTGAGCCAAACCAGCCAGGACTTGACCCCATTTCTTAATTGCCAAGGTTCTGATTGTGTCACTCTTCTCCTTAAAAGCCTTCAGTGGATTCCCATTTATTGTGTTATGTAAAAATTCGAGCACTGCTCAATAAATATGATTTTTAAATTCTAATCTTGGGAGTTTATGAAATGCGGACATGTGGACCAGAATGTCCTGATGTAGGACCTTAAGTCTGCATTAAAAACGAAAGTTTCTAGGTGCTTCTGATACAATTGGTCATTGGATCAGTGGAGCCATTAGAATAAAGTACCAATTTCTCAGCCCAGTATTTCTCTCCGAGGTACTTTTCCAGACCCACCCCTTACTACTATTTCTTTACATAGTGCAAATAAAGTTCTTGCTGGCTTTCTGAGATCTCATACCTTCTAGTCACACCTTTTAAACCTCTGGGCCCAGTCTATGAATCCTTTGCACCCTCAAGTGATCTCTGTGCTTGATTTTCTGAACTGGCTTACAGCCACTTACTGCCTTATCTCCTTGGGTTTCTTTAGGTTTCTCACCTCCCACCCCCACCCCCAAACTCCCAGCTTGTAAAATAGCTGCCCACAGAAACCTACCTAGTTCTTTCTTATTATTCGAACCCGCAGAGCCTTTTGAGGTTTGTGGCAAGGGTCTTAAACAAGAGTGTATAGGATTAGGGCCATTGTCTGACTAGATCACCGTTGCAGACGCAGTCATTACTTGTCCCTGGCTTCCAGGGAGGCTTTCCACCCGTATTTGTGGGTTTAATGAATATATGAGCGAAATGCTGCCTAACATCGCCTAGAGAACTACGAATCCCAGAGGGTATTGCGTGGAACGTCGGCGGACGTGTGACGCAAGGGGGCGTGCCGAGTCTGAGGGAGGGGTCGTCCTGCGGGTAGCCGGAGGCTGAGGAGTGTCTGGAACCTGGGGTGAGAGTGGGAGCGTAAGGTGAGCGGGGCTGAAGAAGGGGACTCGCTGCCGGGCGCCCCAGTCTATGGAGCGGGGTAAGATGGCGGAGGCGGAGAGCCTGGAGACAGCGGCGGAACACGAGCGGATCCTGCGAGAGATCGAGAGCACCGACACGGCCTGCATCGGGCCCACGCTCAGGTATCCCGCGTGCCGGGGCTGGACACGGGAGGGCACGAGCGACCGGGGGCAGGCTCCTTCGGGGTAGTGTGTGTGGCCAGCCGCCCGCAGGGCCAGCGCCGGCCCCTCCCTGCGGAGAGCCGGGCAAGCGACCTGCACCCTTGGGGAGGCGGGTCTCCCACCGCAGCCCCAAAGTGGGGTCCCTTCCCGATCCTCGTCTCCCACAGCCCACTTACCCTGAAAGCACCTCCCGCCTCCCTCCGGGATGGGGCAGCTTCGCTCTCCCTCCGAGGCTAGCCCGGCGCCCGGCAACTGGAGCGCGCCGGACAGAAGGTGGCTTTTATCAGATCTTCCCCTGAGGACATCATCCCTCTCCCTCCGACCCGAACCCTGCCCTGCCCTAGACAGGAGTCCTGTTCTTCAGACAAAATAGAATTTCACCCCATGGCCTCTTGCTCGGAAATTAAATTGCTTCCTTTGAATCACAACCGCTTCTCAGAACTGAGTTCCTGAAAATCCTAGGCCTGGAAGGAAGTTTCCCTCAACCCGTGCCCTCTCCTGGGAACTCTGCCGGGAGGACGACGTCTCCCAAAGGTGCAGCCTTCTGGTAGTCTCATCGCCCAGAAAGTTATCCCCGCTCTCGCCCCCGCTACCATTGCGTTGTCCCCACACCTTCATTTTATTTGGAGCTGTCAAGAAGAAACCCTCAACGACCTCAATTTATTTAACAAAACTTAGGTATCATTTACTATATACAGTGCAATACTTTGTATTAAGAAGTTTACAAAAATAACTTATTCAAACCGAAAAACAATCCCGTTAGGTACTATTATTACTCTCATTTTACAGATGAGGCACAAAGAGGTTACGCGAGTTGTCCAAGGTTACTGAGAACATAAAGTGGGGGAGTTGAGATTCCTACTCAGGCAGTTTGGATCCAGAGTCTGCATTCTTCACCCCAAATGATAATCATTTGGGGATTATCATTCACCTGTACTTGTTAATTACTTACCAAGCCCAGTTTCAAAGGACCTTTCCCTTTTCCCTCAGTTTACTAGTGCTCTAGAAGTAACTCATCTTTATCATTCCTCGGGTACCTTCTGATCTCCATGTAGCCAATGGATAGATAACTGTCTTACCCACCGTATACAGTCTTGGGTCACTGCTTCTTCCTTCAAAAAAGAGTTATTACTCACTGCTTGTTTTTTTCATGGGAGGAGTTGCCCTCATGAAAGAGTGTTTGAAGGAGGGGCAGGCTGGATATTTGACTCCTCATCTCCACCTGCACAGCTTCCTTCTCCAGGGCACATTGTCAGCACAGTTCTCCAAGTGCTATCCTTCAACATAATCATTCCTAGTAGTTTGCTAGTCCCTTACTGCGTTCGGATCCTGATCGTAATGCTCCTCTCTTTATCCATTTTTCCTTGAACACTTTAAGGGTAAATGATCCTCATTCATTATCTTTTATAAAAACCAAAGGCTGCTAACTAGTATTATAAGTGCATTATTAATGGTTATTAATATTTGATTTTCAGAAAACTAGATGCTATTAGAGTTACTGAGGATGCTGTTTCAGTATTCTACTCAGACATTTGGCTGCTGAGCTGCAGTAGGCAGCCAAGTAAAGCTCCCACTGGAGCAGTGGGATTACCAGAGTTTTAAGGAAGAATTCTTTCTCAGACACCATCAGTGTTGTCTTGAGTTGGTTGTGGTTTTCCATGGCTGTAGTTTTTGGTTTATATGATAAATGACTTTAATGCTATCAATTTAGTTTGTTGTGATTTATTATGTTAACTCTCCACTGAATAGTAATGCATGTTTGTATCAACTGAATTTTGGCCTGTAATTTTCAAGTATTTTGACATAAGAATACATGCATTATGGTTTGAATACAAGTTACCCATTCTTCCTAAAATTTTCTTCATTGTTATCACTGAGTTATTTTCTCACTGAAAAGTGGGGTTTTATGGGGAAAGATGAATTAAGGGATCTTTTGCCCTAAGTAAGTAGACATGGTAAAAAAAAGGGGGGGTGTGTGTGTTTGAGAGCCTCTGTACTATCCTATCAGTTCTAGTTGCTTTTCCTAACTTCCTGTATCATTATTAGGGGCTTTTCACTTTTGGCCTTGTCCTGTTACCCAAATCTTACCATTATATCCAAGATTCATCCACTTGAACATCCAAAAATACAAGTAGTACCCACTGTCTTTGTCTTTACTCTGGCTGGTCCCTGCCCATATTCATGTCTGCTGCTGTGCATGGAAACACAGCAGCATGCACAGACTTGATGTTTTTAGATCCCATGCTTTACGTTGGATGTGCCTTCATCATCATTTTATCCTGGTTTTTCATCACAGTCATTAGCCAGGTTTGATTTAAGGCAGTAGGCTTCTTCCCTAACTTTACCCTTAACTGCAAATCTCAGACTCCTCTACCCTTCTTCATAGTCTTTCCTCTTTTGTCCATCTTTTGAGGTAGCATTTTTAAGGCACCACATTCTTAGCTGTTACTGAGTTAAGTTTTGTAACCTAGGGGAATGAAAGAACAGAAAATAACAGTAAATTGATAGCAGATAGAAGATTAGTATGCCTATCCTTAAAATTTCTGCTCTTCACAAAAATCCACCTAGCTGCATTTGTCTAACCAGACAAACTCTTTCCTTTGCCAATATTACTTGTGAATCATTACTTGCTTTCTTTCTCTGGTGTACCAGATTATTCTTCTAGTATTATTCTTTTTTGTTTGAGGAGCCACAGTGGCTTGACTTTTCATTATATAACTCCTTATTTTATTCTTGAACAATTATGCAATGTTTGTCGATTTCCATATATCATAAGGGAGTGCCTCTCCTTTGTCATTGTTATTCTGAAAGGCGCAAGTATATCACTCCTATAGAGGCATTTGCCTAGCAAATTCTTTTGGAAAAGGAGTAATCTCTTCTGTCTTCATCTTAAAAATTGTTTTATTAGTTGCAAGTCTTGATTTTGCAGATAAGGAAAAAGGCCGATAAGATGTTGGAGACTGTCTTGTTTTTAAAATAATATTGATTCCAGCTTTGTAGCACTAATGCTAAAATATTGATTGCAAATCACTCATACACAATAGCTCCATATTTCCAGTTTTCAAATCCCATCTCTGAATCTCTATAGTTTTCTCTCATATCACTTATTCAGTAGATCATTTCCTCAATTTGCTGTCTGGATACTAGCAGTTAACATTCACTCTTAATTGTTATTTCAGATTTTGTTTTTAAACTTAAACATAAATTCATTGAGATAATATTGGTTAATAACATTATATAAATTTCAGATATACATATAATTTGATATCTGTATACTCGATTGTGTGCTTACCACCCAAAGTCTAGTTTCCTTCCATTACCATATCATATTTTAATTTAATAGTGAAATACAATAGCTTTAGAAATAGCTTTAGTGAGATAAAATTCATATACCATATAGTTCACCCATTTAAAGTGTACAGTTCAGTGGTTTTTTAGTATACTCACAATTGTGCAAAACTCACCATAATCTAATTTTGGAACATTTTTCTTACTCCAAAAATATATCCTATATCCTTTAGAAGTCACTTTTCATTCTGTTTCCCCTCCCTCCTCAGGCAATTGCTACTTTCTGTATTTAGGGATTTGTGTATTCTGGACATTTCATGTGAATGGAATCATACAGAATGTGTTTTTTGTGTGACTAAACATAATGTTTTCAATGTTCATCTATGTGGTAGATTTTATTGGTACTTCATTTCTTTTTATTGCTGAATAAATATTCCATTGTATGGATACACCACATTTTATTTATTCATCAGGTGATGGGCATTTGGGTTGTTTCCATTTTAGGACTGTATGAACAATGCTTCTATGAATATTTGTGTACATTTGGGAAAAGGGTGTATAGTATTAAATGTTCTATTACTATATGGAGTAGGAGAATGGATTTTTTTGTGGTTTGATAAAGAGAAGCTAGGTTTTATTTTAATAACCTCATTGAGTTGTCAAGCAGATTGTAAAAAATGAAAAACTGCAAAAACCCTCTGTAGCTGATAAGATAGTGCTGATTAGGTTCAATCAGCAGTGGGCTGCATGTGTGATTTTTATTTGAACTAAATAAAAAATTTTCTTTGAAGTTCTTCCATTGGAAGGTTCTTCTGATGTATTATCTGATTAATTAGACTTAATCTACAGAAAAATTAGTAGTCACAGAGAGAAATTAAATGATGTGTAGCATTTGGCAATTATTCTTGTGTTGAATTTCAAGAGCTTATTATCATCAGATTAAATATATAATGCTTGTGAAACTGATTTGGAAATCTTATGTACTATAACTTTGAAAATAAAAAATGAATAGATAAATTATCTTTATTTGTCTGCATTTGAAATATTTTATTTAAAAAAATGGAAAGAACCGCCCTGACCGGTTTGGCCCAGTGGTTGGAGCGTTGGCCTGCAGACCAGAGAGTCCCAGGTTCAGTTCCCGGTAGGGGCACGTACAAAAAAAAAGGAAAAAACCACAGATTTAATACGTTTTTCTTCTATTCCCTCTATTTCCCCATTTATTAGTTTGTTGTTTATTCTTCCATTGTGGTTTTTTTTTTTTTTTTTTTTCCTCACCTGAGGACATTTTTCCATTTTTTGTTCAGGTAGAGTGGGAAGGAGAGAGAGGAACAGAGAGAGAGAGAGAAACATCGATGTGAAAGGAACACATCGAGTGGCTGCCACCCGCACAACCGACCAGGGCCGGGGACAAACTGCAACCGAGGTACGCGCCCTTAGCGGGAACCGAACCCGGGTCTCTCAGGACCGCAGGCCGACGCTCTAACCGCTGAGCCAAACCGGCCAGGGCCCATTGTGGTTTTTATGCAAATATAAACATGTTATTTTTTTCTCCCCCTTTATACAAAATAAGTAGTGTACTGTATATATAGTTCTACAGTGTAGTTTTTTTTTTTTTTTTTTATCACCTGAGGACATTTTTCCATTTTTTGTTCAGATAGAGTAGGAGGGACAGA